TCCTAGCATACCAATTCTATATTTTCATAAAAGGGTGTTAAGAATTAACAGCAGTGATTCTGAACTGGGGGTGATTCTGGCAATTCTGGAGACATTTTTGGTTGTCACAATTGTGGCTATTGGCATGTAGTGGGTAGTTAGCAGGAAAGCTTCTAAACACCCTACAATGTATAGAAAGTCCTCATGACAAATGTATAAGGCGGCCCAAAATGTCAACGGCGAGAGGTTGAGAAACATTAGTTTACGGGTGTAATTCCTTCATTCATTTTATCCACATTTAGGAGCTCACCAAGAAAAGAAGTCAAGCTATACAATTTTACTACTTCTGTTTGGGAAATGTTACTTTCATCATAGAAAGGGAGAGAAATACAAGTAGAATATCAGTAAGATGATGATACTCAACAATTTATTTCCTCCTCATTTTGTTTCTGCATTCAAATTCTGTCATTAATTTCCAAATCAGATTCAAATAGTCAAATGCAGATGCAAAAACTCACTCCAAACTGCTGATAACACAATTAATTCTATGTTCTATATCTAGATAACTAATATTTTTTGAATGAGTAGGCTGCAACTCAACCTTTAAAAAATAAAATCAACAGACAAAATCAAAATACATTTATATATAATTTTTAAAAACTACTATATTTTAGTCAATGGTAGCCATACTAAATATATTTTTCATTATGTGTAATATGCCAAAGTTTCATTGTTACTTATTGTTAAGCCCAATAAGGTGGTTACTTAAAAAAAAAGGATACTATTGCTGCTCCAACACAATGAACTGATTCCATGTGGTGATGTGTGTGGGTTGAATTTATCCACCAGTGTCATGGATGATGCATCCCATATTTTAATATCATCTCCTGATGAAGCAAATCTGAGGTTTTCTTGCATGACTGCGCCTACAAAAAGTTTACAACATTATATTTAAACAGGATGGGGAAAAAAAAAACCTGTTGAAATGAAACATCTAATCAAAAATGAACTGTTGTTTGTCCTTTTTTACTCTAGAGCACTTACCACAAAGTAGAAGCAGTGACCTTTCTAAAATATGTATCACATACTCTTGATTGACCCTTCCAATTGTTCCCCAATAGCAATTACAATAAAATCCAACCTTCTTACCCTACCTTACATGACCTGGTTACTGGGCAACTCTCCTACCTCTCTTCCCCAAGG